CACTTCAGCTGCAGCTGCCTGGCTTGGAGACCTCTCAAACTGAAGCAGGCACTGTGGCCAGTGCCTTCCAGCATGGTCAGAGCCACAGGGCAGGAGGTCCAAACTCAGCCAGATTTGGTGCTTCTCAAAGTGCCATCTTCTCTTCTGTGACCCTGCCAGAGTTTGCTGCCAGCATTTCAGGGGGTGCTCTCAGGGAAGGGTCCTGTGTCTGGTGGTTTCTCAAAGGCAGAGGGATAGCAGTTTCAGGTTTCTCCCACCATCTGGAGCTCAGAAATGCCAAGGAGCAGCTGGGCTGCACTGTCCCTGCCTCCCCTGGTGCAGGAGTGACACCACATCCCCGCGGAGCAGCTGGGCAGCAGGGCAGGCAGCCCTGGGGCAGAGCTGGAAGGTCTGCCCACCTGTGTGTGCATGTGCATCTCATCCCCTGCCAGCTTCCCTTGCTGAAGAAGAGTCCAGATACACATTTTGAAGAGCCACAGTAATTTGATTTTGTTTGTTTCCATTTTCAAGTTTTTTGTAACAAAAAGAGCCCACAATCTTCATTTCAGAGGTGGAATTTAGAATGCTTGCTCCTGGATCTGGAACCTGGCATTGCTAAAGGAGATGGTCCAGCTGCTGGAAGGATGAAGAATGGAGAACTTAGAAAACAAAATTAGTTGCTTGAGATAACAAAGACTACTACACCAGCATCTCTAGAGTTCACAGCAAAGAATTCTGCTTCAGGTCAGTTTTGGTTTCCAGAAGACAATCTGTTGGTTAATTCCCAGGTCAAAAGGACTCCTTTGAAGACTCTCTGTGCCTTGACCAGTGCCATAAAAAGCAATGTTGAAAGGGTGATGGGCCTGGGCTTGAGCACAGCTCTCTGTGTGCTTAGGCTTAAGAAGAAAAAGCTGGTCCGTGGACAACCAAGTGTGTAGAGTCTGGTTTCCTGCAGGTTTGGTTTCCTGTCCCACCACCTCCATAACCCCTGGCTCCTCCACCTCTTCTGGGAAAACTCTTGCAGACACGAAGGGAAGCAGCACACTGGGGTCTGTGTCTGCTCTGTGGCATCTCCCCTGAGCTTCCTCCCCTTCTCAGACAGCTCCCCTGCCACACAAACCAAGCGGGAGCTCACTTATCTCACAGGCTTCAGTCCCTCCTCCCTGGGGGAGAAGGGCTGATTGATGGAGCGCTGGGTAGGAGAGGTGGTGTTGAGGAAAGACACACTGTGAGGGAGGTCGGTTCCCAGGGAAAAGCATGCTAAAGCAATAATGCAGTGCTGCAAGAGTGCCCACAAAGTGCAGCAGCTGTTGGCAGCACGGTGTGGAGTGGAAAGTGCTGCTGCTCCTGTGTGAGCTCGTGACTGCTGAGAGCTCCCTGTCCCGCGGGTGTTACTGAGCATCTTCCCTCAGGTCCCTTCCAGGTGAAACGGGGAAAATGGGGCACATTCCCTGGGCATGTTGGGATTTTGGGGTTAACTCTGGACGTGTGGAGAGGCTGCACAATGGGGCCTCAGACTTGGCTGAGGCCTTTTGTATTTCTGGAACATAAACAACAAATAACTTTCAGTTTATGACAATCTCAGTATGCATCTATTTACATAGCTGGTGACTCCATAAATGATTCTCTTTCACAGATGTAGGTACACAAAGCTATTGCTGTGCATTTCTCCAGCTTTGGATTTCCTTTCTGAAGCAAATTTAGGCACCTGGATCCAAGCTGACCAGCAGTCCTGGCAGTATTTGGAACTCTAAAAATTAATATTAGGATTTTTGATATCGTTCCCATTTCTTACTGGCAACCAGGGGAAAGCTCTTGGTGTGGAGGATATTAGCAAAATTAAGTGACGGTTGTGACTCGTGTTTTGCCAAGCAGAGAGAGATCAAATGCTTTGGGCGGAAAACAAAACCCAGCTCCGACTGACAAGAGACTCAGTGTGACGGTCCCCATGTCCTCGTCCCCACTGTCGCTCTGAGCGTGTCCCTGAGCTCCCCTCAGAGCTCCCCACGGGGTCCTGCCCTGGCCAACCGGGTCCGCAGGGACAGGTGAGTGAGTGACCAGCCTGTTTTCCTCGGGCACAGGAGAGGGGCGGCCAGGCAGAGCTAAAAACCAGCCCGGGAATGCTGAGACCGCGAGTGCTGCTTTAAAGGACCCTCTTGGTGCCTCAGTTTCTCTTGCTGTGAAAATCGCGGCGCCAGGGGCAGGGCAGGGGTGACCGGGCGGCGGTGGAGACGGTGTCCCT